TGAAGACCCAAACTTTTGCAAGGAGAAGAGTCTGTCTGGAAGGAAACGATCACATTTTCATCGCATCTTTTTTTGTTCTCAACTGACATCCCGACTCTACAGGCTGGCTGAGGCTGAATTTTGCATTCAGAGAATCGGGTTCTGTTAAAAAGTATAGAAAAATACCTGTGATGGTTCCAAGCTGAACTGTTTCTGGATTTGAAACATCACCCAGCCCACATTTTCTCATTGCAGCTTGGCATTACAAACAAATATTGAAAAATGGCCTTTCCCAGGCCAGAGCCTCTTTATTTTCTGATCAAACTCTGCTAAAGAGCAGGAAAGCTGGGAAACGCAGATGTCTCAGGCTGCCAGCAATCATTTTGATAATGGAAATAGCTTACTCTGCTCCGCAGGGGAGGACTGGAAAGACTCAGCTGGAAAGAGGATTGGAATAAAATAAAAAAAATAAAATAAAAAGAGGAAAAGGGTTGTGATTGAACGTGAATGCACTTGACACCTAGGTGACCCCCCTCTTCTCCTGTCCCTGGCTTGTGTCATCTTAAAAGACAGGAGCTCTCACTTCAAATTAACTTAATCTGTAGCATTAAATAATTCATGTTGATTTAAGAAAGCTTTATTTCTAATGGGACACACACGAAGGCAGAGTTAATATTAGAAGAGGCCGTGGAGGGGGAGGAGATGGGGAATTAGGCTATAAAAGGTGAATGTACAAGTTAATTGCCTATCAATTATTCACCTGAAGTCTCTGGAAGTAGCTCCTCTGCCTCCCCCTCAGTCCCCCATGGTGCCCTCGTGCTGGTTGTCACCAGGTTCCCACCAGCATCTCTCTGGGACCAACCCTTACCCCGCGCTGAGCTTGCCAGGACAGCCCGTGGTACCAGGCAGGGCTGGAGGCAGCACCTCTGGCGCTGGGGTCCCTTCCAGCCCTCCCCTGGCCAAACCCTTTGGCACCTGCACAACGCTCACAAGAAACTGTTTAAAGCCACAGAAGATGGAGTAGTGTGCAGCGAAGGATGGCTTGTCCCACCACGAACATCATCAGTTTTCACGATTCCACGACCCTTTCCCTGCCTCTTGAGACCAGGACAGGCTCGGGATGCTCCTGCCAAGATGCCAGTGAAGAAGAGGAACCACGCTACCCTCCAGCTTCCCCAGCACCTCTCCATCCACGGCTTTGCTTGGCCGCCCTCCTGGTGCCGCGGGTCCTGCCTACCCCTGGCCAGCATGGGCTGAGGCTTCACAACGCCGCTCCAGATGGGGACAGCGAGCCGGGGCTCCTCTCTTCCCCTCCCTTCTCCTCCCTCCCGGGGAAGCCAATGCTCTCTTCAAAGTTTCTCCTCGCTTGGCTGCCTTCGAGATCTGGAAACTCAACACTAATTAACGTGTCTGCAAATCCCAGCTCGGCTGGCGGGGCCTGGAATTCATTCACGGTCCCCCGAGTGCAGAAGGATCCACAAGCTAGCCCTCTGGCTCCTTAAACTACACGGCTGGCAGATGCATATTTTAACAACACACATCTGTTGGCTATATAATCTCTTGTATTTGCCCTCCCTGCTCCGAGCTTTGATGGAAGACCGGAGGGAACTCTCCAGTGGTTACAGCCAAAGTGTTTGCTTTGCAATTTCGCTCGATTGCTGTCTGATTTTATTTTTAAATTTCTTCAAGTCCTAATCAGGCTCTTACTTTATTTAATTAATACCCCAGCTTAGTTAAATAGATCATAAATTAAGAAGCTCTGCCATTAAAGATGTACCAGGTAGCAAATAGCCCTCCAGTGGCTTCCCAGAGCCTGCCTGGCTTGGGTTCCCCTGCCAAACTGCTGATCTGACCTCCTTCGCTTGCAGAAAAGGTGGATGCCTCCGCATCTCCCAAATCCCATCGCACCAGCTTTTATCAACCGTTGCCTTCCCCGCTGGCCAGATGTCCCTAGGAGAGAGAGCAGCGGCTCCTTCCCCGGGCAATTTGGGCAGTGCTAGGAAGGAAGATGAGGGGGACCTGGAGAAGGGGGGGCCTTCAGCTTTGGGATGGGTTAGCTGGGTTCCTGAGCAACATCTGTCCCTGAGACTCCACAAATAAGACACTTCTCCTGACACCAATGACACTAATAGGCTCATCTGTTTGAGTGTTTGGACTTCCAAGGCTATGGAATGATCTGTTCCACTACATTTAACCGTGTAGATTTGAAAACAATGTGACAAAACCTTAAATATTTAATTAAAATATGAATGCAGATGCTCTGCATCTGAGCAGGGAAGTAGGAGGCAACAGCCCCATAAAGCTGTTGTCAGCCGTGAATGACAGCAGTTGGAAACTGCACTGGGAGGCAGTGGGGGACTTCATGACACCAAGAAAGTGGAAAAGCTGGCAAGAACACACAAGGCAGCACCAACCCATGGAAAAAGAAAACAGGCAAGGTATTTTCCAGAGACAAGGCCGGGCCGTGATAGAGCGGGACGGGGTTCCCCAGAGCTGCCTCCAACATCCCCGGCCGGCTGATGAACCGCTTGAGCGGTTGGCAAAGCCAGCAGCGCGCTTCGGGCTCCCAGCCACGAGAGCCTCCTGGCTCCGCTCCGGCTGCGACAAACCGCTTCCTCGAGAGCTGCGAGGTTTGCACGCAGGTTTGGGGATGGCTGAGGGATCCTCCCCTGCCTAGGCGATGCCTGCAGCTGCAGGGGAAGCTGGGCAGACTGGGATGCTTTAGGCTTTGGTTGAATGTCAAAGATGAATCGGAAAGCCTCCAGGAAGGGAGGTTTCCATCCCCTCCTGCCCGCCAGGGTGCTGAGGTGTGAGCAATATCCTCCTGCTTGCAATCTCCCTCCTGGCCATGACCGAGGGAGCCCAGCTTCCCGCTCCGGAGGCAGCCTGGGCTTCCTGGGACTGTGGGCAGTGGGATGCCTGAGTCAGGCTGGGTTTCAAGCAGAGGACTTTTACAATTAATTTACAAGTAATCCCTCCTGGATTTACAAATCGCCTCTGATGGCAATCCAAAAGCTAAAAGGAAGACCGCACAAGCGACTTCTCCAACCGAGGCGGCTCAGGTAGCCTGTCACATCCCTTCCAAACCCAGTGAGGTGAAATTTGGGAGATCCACACCCCTCCAGAGATGGCTGCTTAGCTCAGCCTGAAGCCAGGCTCGCCGAGTCGGCACGTAGTGGATCCAAAGAGGAGAAATGTCTGCACAGCTGGTGGCATTACACATCTTCTCTCCATTTTTCTGTACAAACACGCGCTTTGCCTCCCTAAGGTACAGTAAGTTTAGCTTGACGCAGTGCACGCCGTAACCGGCTGTCAGGAGCCAGCGCTAGCTCTTAACACACGGGGGGTTGCAGGCACCTACTCTTAACGTGCCGTTTCTATTCCCCTCCATCGGGCTGGCTAAAACACAGACCGCAGCCCCCCCATGGTGATGTCCACCTTCGCCGTCGGCGTGGCAGGACGCACCGCCCTACCGCCCAGGTATCGAAGTGTGATCTGCTGACCGCCAACAACCTTCCAGTCCCCTTCCAAGGGTGCGGATTATCACTCGTACCTCCCCAACCAGCCTTAAACTTCCCCGGAACATCTGCATAAATACATCTCAAGTGAAAGATGTGCTACCGACAGGTTGCAAAGCCCCATTTTCTTATCGATCGGGCTTAAGTGGAATGCGCTATAACTTTAATTTTCTTAAAAGGAAAACACGCCGCAAATGTAAGCTGCTGAACATCTTGGGTAAATGTACCAATTAGCAACTACCATGTATATTCACATAAACATTAACTACCATCTATTCAACACATTCCATAACCCCAAAGATAATAATGATTTCCTTTTGATCCGTAAAAACATCTCTCTGCTCAATCAACGCTTTGCAGCAGCTCTGAGCTCTGACGTACGCCCGGGCGCCCTGGGACTAAATTAGTTTTGAAATCTTTAGCTCTAATTAAATAACATTATTTCTTTTGTCTGGCTCCAGCAACGTCTTCTGCCTTCACAACAGAAGGAGGGAGCCCGGGCGAAGGAGGGGAAGGGGACACAGCTTGCAGAGGTTGTCGGTAAGCGAGAGAGCCCCCCCCCCCGACAGCCGCGTTCTGCTTTCCCATTCATTTGCAGGCTTTCATGTATGGGCACATGTCAGAGCTCTGAGCTGCTGCAAAGGGTTGGCTGAGCAGAAGGATGGATCAAAAGAAAAATCATCATTATCGTTGGGGTCAGGGAAGGAAGAGATGGCAGTTGTCTAAGTTTGGGGGTAGGGAACTTTGTAGGGTTGCGCAGAAGGAAAAACAAACGCTGGGGAAATTACAAACCAGAAATTAGGACCCATTTGCGCGGTGGTGCGCTGACTCCGGTAAGGCGCACCTTCAACCAGAACCAGAACTTAACTCACTCTTACTGCAGGGGGGTTGGACTAGATGACCTCTAGGGGTCCCTTCCAACCCAAAACATTCTATGATCCTATGATTCTTTTTGGCTGTTTAGGACTCATTAGCATTGATCTAAAAGCACTAAGACTCTTGGTCTAGATAATTTTTTTAAGAATTTTTTTCCCTAACAATTAACCATGAAAAAAACCCCAAACCAACAAAGAAAACCCAAATCCAAACTTTAAATTTAAACAAACTTAAATACGTAAATAGTTTCACTTTGGGGGCTGAGTAACCAGGAGGTATCTGGGAGCAATATAGACTGGTTTTCATCTGAGCTTTTCAAGGGAAACACCATTTTCATCAACTTCTCTGAAGCCACATCCACACAGACACGGCCTGCCTTCTCCCAGCACTCCTGACAAGCACGCACAGCCACTCTGCCAGGCTGCCAGCAAAGCCCCTTTACCTTTGCCAGCGCTACATTCCCATCTCCCACCCAAAAAGGTTCTTCACAGGATGTTGGGAGCCGCCTCCTGTGTGCAATCCCACGCAACATCCTCCTGTGTTGCTCATCAAAAAGTCACTCGGTGCGACCGCGAAGCCAAAAAAATAAGCAACCAACCTCCAACACGATGAGGAGATGGGACTTACCGAGAACAGTCAGCCGGGCAGGTCTGGATCGGATGGCCGCTTGAATGGCCTGACATTCATAGACGGCATCATCTTGGAGATCAGCTCTCAGGATTTTCAAGTGATGCTCTCCAGACAGATGGTCTCCTATGACCAGATAGCGCGGATAACCTGCGGAACACAAGGCAGGGGTCAGGAGGCAGCGGGGCCAACGAGCCCAAGGATGAAGAGTACGCAGTGTGGGTCCAGCCCCCAGCCGCCCCACAGCAAATGCCCAGGAGCCAGGCAGCTGCTTCCCCTCCTTGGCAGCCAGCCCCAAAGGAATCATAGAATGTTTAGGGTTGGAAGGGACCACTAGTGGTCATCTAGTCCAACCCCCCTGCAGTGAGCAGGGACACCGCTAACTAGATCAGGTTGCTCAGAGCCCCATCCAACCTGGCCTTGAATGTTCCCAGGGAGGGGGCCTCCACTACCTCTCTGGGCAACCTGTTCCAGTGTTTTACCACCCTCATTGTAAAAAATTTCTTCCTTACCTCTAGCCTGAACCTACCCTGTTCTAGTTTAAAACCATTTCCCCTTGTCCTAACACAGCTGGCCCTACTAAAAAGACGTTCCCCATCTTTCCTATAGGCCCCCTTTAGGTACTGGAAGGCCGCAATCAGGTCTCCCCGTAGCCTCCTTTTCTCCAGACTGAACAAGCCCAACTCTCTCAGCCTGTCCTCATAGGAGAGGTGCTCCAGCCCTCGGATCATTTTTGTAGCCCTCCTCTGGACCCGTTCCCAGCGCACATTGCCGGCTCATGGCCAGCTTTTCATCCATCAGTACCCCCAAGTCCCTCTCGGCAGGGCTGCTCTCGATCCTTTCTTCCCCCAGCCTGTATTGATACTGGGGAGAGAGAGAAACCTTCCAAATTTGAGAAAGACTGCAGGATTTGCCCTAAGAGTTCAAAACCAGAAGTGCTGATGAAGGACTGAAGTCCCTAGGAAAAGGGATGAGCCCTTCCACCAGGAAACCCACCACCTCCGGGGCTCCTCTGAGACCCCTCAGGGGATTTCCTTAGCTCAGCCGTGCACGTGCTTGTGGCGAAACCCTGGCACACCCTGGCTGTTAGGTCTGCGTAAAGCTTGGGCAGGGTCGGTGGGGGTACAAACAGCCCCCATCAGCCTGCCCTGCGTCTTGAGGCATCTGAAGCCCCGCGGAAGGGAGGCTGCCATCGCCCCATCCTTCCCAGCGCCGGTGATTAATGCACTGCGTAACGCAGGCAGCCTGGCACACGCTTGCGTTTTTGTTGTTTCGCGAGCTATCAACAGCAGGATTTGCTCTCCTGAACCGCAAGAAATACAAATGATGGGTTTGTTTGTATTTAGCTAATTAGACGACTGGCTGAGCTCGTATCATGCAAGCTGGCAGTTCCTCTTGCTTAAAGCAGCCCCAGCGCCGTCAGTTGTGGAAGTCATTCACATAAACTACAGACTTCAGCGGAGCTGTTGTTACCCGTTCGCGTGGTGAGGTCTTGGTATGGAAAGCTCAGCTCTCTAATGTATGTGAAAGTTGTGGCAGGGAAATGTGAAAAACAACTGAAGAGGGGACTGCTCACTCAGGCAAGTCTGAGAAATGAGTAATTAGATGTACTAAAAAAAGAGGAGAAGAAAAAAAAACAGGCGTTGAGCTTTAGAGAAGAGCGGGGTCCCCTGGAGACCAAGAAACACGAATCCTCCCCCGGTTTCTGAATGCTGCTGCCTGGCTTGGAGAAAAACCCCTTCAGGCCTCCTGGGCTCTGCAGAAGTTGAGCGGTGGCAACATCACACGCGTACAACCTCGGCCATGCACCGGGGGACGAGGCTGCAGCTCCTGGGAGGGCTCAGCACCTTCCCGGGTTTTTGGCTCTCAAGTGAACCCTCTCCCTTAGTCCTGTGAAATATTTCCCTAAAAAATGAGTATTTTCCAGCAAAATGTATAGAATACCTCTGTTCCAGAGTCTCCGCCAGTGCAATAAACCCTCAATCACAACGCATGTGTGGGATTAAGTAACGAGAAGTCTGGGGAATTTTATTACCAGCCAATAATTTGCCAAAAGGATGGCTTAAGGAAGCTACAAGTACCCATGGGCTCCGCTGGCCTGCAATAAACACATTTATCCAAAGCAAACGGAGACTTTCTTCGTTGTTTGAGAATGTCAAAGCAGGCACTTTCAGCATTTACAAAACATCTCAGCCTGTGTTTTGGAAACATGGCATTTGTTTCCAAAAGTCAACCCAAACCCAAGGCAGGCTTTCCAAAGGGGTCAGGTCGCACCTGCGGAAACTGTTTGGTTTCAAGTCAGAGTGAAAAAAGTTTGTGTTTATTCCAAGTTTTGATGCTTACATTTGAGCTGGCTGGAAGGTTTTGAAGGAAATGAAACCATTTCTTATTCTCCAAATAAATATTGTGGCCGCACCTGCCCCGTTGGGCAGGGAGAGCTCCCCTTTGCCGTGTTTAGGTAGGGTGCCATCACGACTTACTTGAGAGATCCCGGCCGACTCCAAGGGCGAGCCCGTCTTTAATCCACAGCACGATGCCATTGTACTCGGGGATGGCGCACAGCAGCGTCACGGGCTGCCCAGCGATCACCACCTGGTCCTGGGGCTGCTGCGTGAAGGAGGAGGCTTGACCTGGAGAGGGGAACGAGAGAGGGAGAGGAGGCTGTCAGGCCTCCGTGCAAGGCAGCGCCTTGGGATGCAACAGCCCCTGCCACAGCACAAACCCGAGGCTGAAGGCTGCAGCTCTTAAGGAGGTGATTTCTTATTGCCCCCTCATACGCTCAGATTAAAATTTGCAATGTTTTTCCTCCCTGGGGAAAAAAAAAAAAAAAGATACTACAAATACTACAAAGAGGTGCCAGGCATTTCCTCTAAGTATTTTATTCCAAATTGTGGTGCTGCTGTTTTAGCCATCACGCTCAACAGACAGAAAAGCAGCAGGATTTAGGAAGCAGCAATATTTTGAATTACACTTCATACAAGGGAACGCTCGTTCCCTGCTTCGGAGTCTCGCTGCCACCTCGCGCGCTCTCCGAAATCGGGATGCGCGGTTAAGAACCCGCTACAAAACACGCAGGAAAACAACGGACCTCTGCTGTTCCCTCTTCTCCCACAGCGTAACCTGCTTGTATTTTCTGGGAGCTTCTCGTACACCCGGGGATGAAAGGCAGCGCCGGTCCTGGTTCAGCACCGCCTTTTGCCAAAGTGTCATCGTCAAACTCGCCAACCACCCAACCCTCCTGAGCCAAGCTCTTAAGCACGACACCTACCACCTTGGTTGACGCAGGTGGACCAAATGGGGTGGTTCATCACCTCTCTCCCCGCCCTGAATGCTGCAATAACAACTCAAAGCCCTCGGGTCATCTCCTGCCACCACAAGATGTTTCACACCTCAGGTGCGAGGTGAAGCTTCTCATTTTCAACAGAAAGTGCTCTGACGCAGCACCGCCTCTGAGGCATCAGGGCTTGCTAAGCGCCGGCATTAGGCTTTATTTTCACTCTTGGAAATCCATCATCGTCCCTTGCCTGTGCCATGATTGAAAAGCACTCGAAGCCTTAATTCCTTCAGGTTTTTTCTTTCTGGTTTTCAATCAGGTGAGGTGTGATCCCAATGCCCACACAGCAACGGCCCCGTGGTTCAATGGAGAGTGGGGCGCGTGGCAGCACGGCGCCAGATCGCTCCCCGCTCTCGCATCCGAGCTCGGAAAGAAAACGGTAAAAGCAAGAACAAACGCTGACAAAGCACCGCTGAACCAAACGTACCCCCGGGATATCCCAGAGAGATGGCTCGTTGTGCTACGAGCGCGCACGCGTACGCAGTGCCGCACTTTAATGCCGGAAAGTCCTAAACCTGAAGCCTGATACCGGGATGCCTGGTGAGCGTGGCCCGTTGTGTCAGGTATCCGTAGAGCACCTGAACAGCGGCTTTGCCAGCACTTAAAGCCTTGCTCTTAACTCTGGATATAGGAGAGATCTGAAAGAGAGAGACGTCGGGAGAAAGGCAGAACGACTGGATTGCTGCATTACCTGCAGGGTTTTACGGATCAGGAGCCTTGCTGTGCGTGAATTATCGCCCTGCAACAGGCACGGAATGAAAAGCCCGCGCCCCTCAGCCGAACGTCAGCTCAACACGCAGAATCGTACCGGGCTGAAGAAAAAGTTTCTCTTTCAAATCAATTTGTTAAACCAGGACAGTCTCCACGTGAACCACCCTGAATCAATTCAATCCTAATTTACATTAACTCAATTTAATCATTGACTGATGATTAATCCTAAACCAAGGTTAAGTGTGACACAAGTTCTTGCAACTGAACTTGTTTCCAAATGAGTTGTTGGGCCTTGCCTGGAGGGCAGAGCCACAAAGCTCGATCATTTTCTAACTCGTGCAGTTAAAGCAATGTAAGACCCCATGCGAACGCTTATATTTCGATTCAATTTAGCATAGCTTAACTTAAGCTTGCTCTTAGCCAGCTAAAGGCGCACGGGGAAGAGCAGAGCCATCCTTTCTGGATTTCTGCTGGTTTACATACAGCAAATTTTTGCAACCCTCTCTGCGGTGTCCAGGCGCACGTTGAGGACCACGTTCCCGAGTATTTCGGAGGTCCTGGCTCTCCCAGCACCCACCTATTTGCAAGGAAATCTGCTTTTCATCGCAGGTGCTCCGAAAGTCCGTGGCGGTGGCGCTCGGCACGGTGCTGCACGCACCACAGAGCGGGTTGATTCCAGAGGAGATTCCAGCTCTTTCTGCTGGGAGAGACTCGCTGGAAGTGGTGGGGGCCTCCCGTACCAGCAGAAACCCTTGCTATGCTGAATCAAGATTTAGGAATTTGGTTTCAAAGGGAATATTAATCAGCTCTGTATTTTATTCAGACTCAGAAAGGACAAGCACTACCAGGGTACCAGGGAAAAGCGGGGATGAGAGAGAAAATTAGGAAAGAAAGCAGAAAAAAGTGAGCATTTTGCTTTGTTGTTGGGTTTGGTTGTTGGCTTTTTTTTTTTAAATATATATTTTCCGCTCGCTAACTATGTTTTCACGGCTCACTCCGTAATCTTGACAATTCTCAAGGCAAGCCAGGCAAGCGGGGACAGCGCTGGAACGCAGCAATAACCCAAAAAGATTGTTTTATCGGCGAGAATTATCAGGTTGTCAGCTGGGAGCTGCGAGAGTCGTAATGAGAAAGCAGAAGCACAAAGTGGTGTCCATGCCCTCTGCAAATGTCCATTAAGCAGAGGCTTCATTTGGTAATTGCTGTTGGAAATGAAGCCCTTTTTAGGGTTGGTTTTTGTTGGGTTTTTTTTTTTTTTTTGTATCAGGTTGTCAGCTGGGAGCTGCGAGAGTCGTAATGAGAAAGCAGAAGCACAAAGTGGTGTCCATGCCCTCTGAAAATGTCCATTAAGCAGAGGCTTCATTTGGTAATTGCTGTTGGAAATGAAGCCCTTTTTAGGGTTGGTTTTTGTTGGGTTTTTTTTTTTTTTTTGTCTTGATTTGTTTTAGAGAGCAGCTGATGGCCTTGGAAAATCAGAGCAGAAACATGGCATATGTCTCCTGTCTTTTCCTTCCCTCTGTTTGTTCAGTGTGAAAAATTGTCACTTGAAACCATTCTTTTTTTGTGTCCAAGGCTTCATCTCAGCTACAAACAGCTCAGACTCAGTCACAGGGGAGGAGAGACAGCGGTAAGGACCTTAGGAACATTACCTGGTCCAGTCCCTGCTCCATGGCAGGATCATCTCTCCCTAAATCACACATAAAAAAGAAGCAAAAAAACCCCAACCCCAAACCTACGGAAGACAGAGCTCAACAAGCTTTCAAATCAGCTTAAAGTCTGATTACTGGGTTTAACTGGGTTTGGAAGATCAGAGGCCTGTCCACGTTACAGCTTTCAGCTGTCTTATGTCTTAATGTCAAAGGAACAAGTAATTTGCAGAAAAGTTTTAAGGGAGATAAGATACTTGACAGAAAATAACTGAAAACGGGGAGATTGGGAGAGGGTGGATTTACAAATGCAGGCTGAGCGGTTTCAGCTACAAGAAAAGGGGCTGAAGCACATTAGTTGGGTACTTTTCCCATGAACGTTTACAACATCATTACAAAATGGTGCTTTGGTTTCAAAGCAGGGCGGTTTGACTCCAAGACGAAACCAGACAAGTGCTTCGATGGTCACGCAAGATGCTGTTGGTCCACCAGAAGTTTCCCATTCTCTCCCCTTCCACTAAGTAGGGCATTAGCCAAAAAAAATCTGGTTTTAACTGTAACCTGGCTTCCCAAATCCAAGTCCTTGCAGAGGTTGGAGCTCAGACCACATGAGCCCAACCAAGAGCCCAGCCAGCCACTCCAGCCAGCTCCCATCTCCCTCTCAGCACCTTCCTGCTGCACCAAGGGAACCCAGGTTCTGATTTTGGGAATCCCAGGTTGGAAGGGACCTCCAGGATCATCTGGTCCAACCTGTCTAGGCAAGAACACAGTCTAGACAAGATGGCTCAGCACCCTGTCCACCTGAGTCTTGAAAGTGTCCAATGTGGCGGAGTCAACCTGTTCCCTGGGGAGATTATTCCAGTGGTTGACTCTTCTCATGGTGAAAAATTTCCCTTTTATGTCCAATCAGAGTCTCCCCAAGTGCAACTTGTGTCCATTCCCCCTCGTCCTCTCCATGGGACGCCTTGTGAAAAGGGAGTCTCCATCTTCCTTGTAGCTTCCTTGTAGTACTGCTGCGGCAGCAATCGCAAACAGTGGGGAGATGCAGCAAGGTGTATGTGTGCCCTGTCCCCCTCAAGGGTAGTCCTCTTTTTGTCACCGAAAGGGCTGTCAGGCTCTGGAAGGGGCTGCCCAGGGAAGGGGTCGAGTCCCCAGCCCTGGGGGGATTTAACAGCCGGGCAGAAGCGGTGCTGAGGGCCAGGGTTTGGGGGTGGGATGGCAGGGTGAGGGGAACGGTTGGGCTTGGGGATCTTAAAGGGCTTTTCCCTTTGGTTCTGTGATTCCACACCCTGTTTTTCCTCTTTTCAAGTATAAAGACTTAGCATAAAATCAAAGAAAGAAATAACCCAGTAGATGCTTGGCTTCCTGCAAGCGTCGCTGGGAGCCGCTCGGCACCAACTCTGCCCCTCCAAGAGCATCCATGCGAGCATCTTCTGCTATTCACCCAGCAGAGGAGACGTGCCGAGCAGAAGCAAATATTAGGACTCTTGAATTCATTGTTCTTCTTTGCAAATGCATATGTAAATGAGATGCTAACCATGCCTCTTGGCCACGTTCCAGCGCGATGGCAAAGTCCTATCTGTGCTCTCAAGCTGCCCGGCTGCTGAATGCAGGTTGTCAGCTGCAGGTCGACCTGCTGTTGTAGATGGGGGCTTTGGTGTCAGAGAAGGCGCGAGCGGCTCTTGATCTCAGAGCCTCATCTTCTCCTGGTTGCTGGCTTGGCTTTGCTCCCTGAGGAGCTATTTACACCTCCAGACGACTGCGTGACCTGTTTTCTGGCCCCGCGATCTCCTGTCTTCCTGGGGGAAGCGTCATTAAAACAAAAAGCGGGGGGCACTTTGTGCAGCTATTGAAATCCTAAGTGGCAGGAACAAAAATGGGAGAAGAAAGGGTCCACCACGAACGGCAAGCAGGCAATAATGCTAACTGTGTTTTCAGA